AATAATAAAGTCATGTACTTAAATATCTAGGAAAAGCCTCTTCCCAATGACCAAACTGAAAAGGGTTTGGAAGATCTATGATCAGATCAGGTCTCTCAATGTCATGAAACCTCCCAATGTTTCGTATCATGAGACATTATCTTTTGACTTGTTTTGATCATATTGTTTCAAAGGTTTATTTGTTAGAACAGAATTTATTTTACTGTTATTTTAATAATTTTTAGAAAGCTAAGAGGGATTAATTCGATTGGTGTTGGAATGTGTGGTTCAAAGATTTTCCTCCAGTCCAAATTTTCTCTCAAAGCTCTTTACCTCACTGGCAAAACATATATGTATTGGCAAGGTTTGTTGCCCTATCTCCAAAAGCCAGTTTTGTCTTCTTGGATGTGGTTCAGATAGTGTTATTTAGATTGGTTCTTCCTAACATTTCTAGTTAACTGTATTGTATTCTGGAAGCTGTGCCAAGAGAGACTTCATCCTTAAACGTATTCTAAATTTTTTAAATAATTAAATAACAAAATAATAAGCCCCAATTAACCTTGCACATTACTGAGTAAAAACTGTGCATTATCTGTTACTAATTGTGTCATAAGCATTCAGATATTAGTACAGTGCCAGTATTTCCATAAAGAATGACTCTTCTCCTGTTTTGCTGTACATTTAGGGACTGTGAAAACATGGGATTTTGGAAGTGGCCAAGAACTTAAAATATTGCCTTTAGGCAAAGAAATCAAGGATAATGAACACTGGCTGATGCAGATGGTTTACCTGAAGGCTAGTGGGAGTAAACATGTGATCTTGATCTTGGAGTACAGTGGAACGATCAAAATTGTTCAGGTTTTGTTTATGCTTTTTTTAAAAATCAGATTTAGTATCTTGTCCTCAGTTTTGGAAGTGAAAACACCTTTCAAAAAGATCTGTCGATGGTGATGATGTAAAACTGTTGCTAATTATCAGTCTGGGCACCTGGCTTCCTGTTATTGTGCTGTATCACATATTTATTTATTTATTTATTTA